TATAGTGACAATTGTTTCCCCTGCCTCAGAGACACTGCCCTATAGTGACAGTCATATTTTCCCCTGCGTCACACACTGCCCTATAGAGACAGTCATATTTTCCCCCTGCCTCAGACACTGCCCTATAGTGACAGTTGTTTCCCCTGCCTCAGACACTGCCCTATAGAGACAGTCATATTTGCCCCTGCCTCAGACACACTGCCCTATAGAGACAGTCATATAATTTCTACCTGCCTCAGACACTGCCCTATAGTGACAGTCATAATTTCCCCTGCCTCAGACACTGCCCTATAGAGACAGTCATATTTCCCCTGCCTCAGACACTGCCCTATAGAGACAGTCATATTTGCCCCTGCCTCAGACACGCTGCCCTATAGAGACAGTCATAATTTCCCCTGCCAGAGACACTGCCCTTTAGTGACAGTTGTTTCCCCTGCCTCAGACACTGCCCTATATGGTGACAGTTGTTTCCCTGCCTCAGACACTGCCCTATAGGTGACAGTCATATTTGCCCTGCCTCAGACACTGCCCTATGGTGACAATTTTTCCCCTGCCTCAGACACTGCCCTATAGTGACAGTCATGTTTTCCCCTGCTTCAGACACTGCCCTATAGTGACAGTTGTTTCCCCTGCCTCAGACACTGCCCTATAGTGACAGTCATATTTGCCCGCCTGCCTCAGACACGCTGCCACTATAGTGAAAGTTGTTTCCCTCTGCCTCAGACACTGCCTATAGTGACAGTCATATTTTCTCCTGCCTCAGACACTGCCCTATAGTGACCAGTCATATTTTTCTCCTCCCAGACACTGCCCTATAGAGACAGTCATATTTTCCCTGCATCAGACACTGCCCATATAGTGACAGTTGTTTCCCCTGCCTCAGACACTGCCCTATAGTGACAGTCATATTTTCTCCTGCCTCAGACACTGCCCTATAGAGACAGTCATATTTTCCCCCTGCATCAGACACTGCCCTGTAATGACAGTTGTTTCTGCCTCAGACACTGCCCTATAGTGACAGTTGTTTCCCCTGCCTCAGACACTGCCCTATAGTGACAGTCATATTTGCCCTTGCCTCTGGTGACACTGCCCTATAGTGACAATTATTTCCCCTGCGCTCAGACACTGCCCTATAGTGACAGTCATATTTTCCCTGCATCAGACACTGCCCTATAGAGACAGTCATATTTTCCCCTGCCTCAGACACTGCCCTATAGTGACAGTTGTTTCCCCTGCCTCAGACACTGCCCTATAGTGACAGTCATGGTTGCCCCTGACTCAGACACTGCCCTATAGAGACAGTCATATTTGCCCTGCCTCCCAGACACTGCCCTATAGAGACAGTCATATTTTCCCCTGCCTCGGACACTGCCCTATAGTGACAGTCATGTTTTTTCTCCTTGCCTCAGACACTGCCCTATAGTGACAGTTGTTTCCCCTGCCTCAGACACTGCCCTATAGTGACAGTCATATTTTCTCCTGCCTCAGACACTGCCCTATAGTGACAGTTGTTTCCCCCTGCCTCAGACACTGCCCTATAGTGACAGTCATATTTTCTCCTGCCTCAGACACTGCCCTATAATGACAGTCATATTTTCTCCTGCCCCAGACACTGCCCTATAGAGACAGTCATATTTTCCCTGCATCAGACACTGCCCTATAGTGACAGTTGTTTCCCCTGCCTCAGACACTGCCCTATAGTGACAGTCATATTTTTGCCCTGCCTCAGACACTGCCCTATAATGACAGTTGTTTCCCTGCCTCAGACACTGCCCTATAGAGACAGTCATATTTGCCCTGCCTCAGACACTGCCCTATAGTGACCGTCATATTTTCTCCTGCCTCAGACACTGCCCTATAGAGACCAGTTGTTTCCCCTGCCTCGAACACTGCCCTATAGTGACAGTTGTTTCCCCTGCCTCAGACACTGCCCTATAGTGACAGTCATATTTGCCCCTGCCTCAGACACTGCCCTATAGTGACAATTGTTTCCCCTGCCTCAGACACTGCCCTATAGTGACAGTCATATTTCCCCCAAGTCACACACTGCCCTATAGAGACAGTCATATTTTCCCCCTGCCTCAGACACTGCCCTATAGTGACAGTTGTTTCCCCTGCTTCAGACACTGCCCTATAGAGACAGTCATATTGCCCTGCCTCAGACACTGCCCTATAGAGACAGTCATAATTTCCCCCTGCCTCAGACACTGCCCTATAGTGACAGTCATAATTTCCCCTGCCTCAGACACTGCCCTATAGAGACAGTCATGTTTGCCCCCTGCCTCAGACACTGCCCTATAGAGACAGTCATATTTGCCCCTGCCTCAGACACTGCCCTATAGAGACAGTCATAATTTCCCCCTGCCTCAGACACTGCCCTTTAGTGACAGTTGTTTCCCCCTGCCTCAGACACTGCCCTATAGTGACAGTTGTTTCCCCCTGCCTCAGACACTGCCCTATAGTGACAGTCATATTTGCCCCTGCCTCAGACACTGCCCTATAGTGACAATTTTTTCCCCCTGCCTCAGACACTGCCCTATAGTGACAGTCATATTTTCCCCTGCTTCAGACACTGCCCTATAGTGACAGTTGTTTCCCCCTGCCTCAGACACTGCCCTATAGTGACAGTCATATTTGCCCCTGCCTCAGACACTGCCCTATAGAGACAGTCATATTTTCCCCCTGCCTCAGACACTGCCCTATAGTGACAGTTGTTTCCCCCTGCCTCAGACACTGCCCTATAGTGACAGTCATATTTGCCCCTGCCTCAGACACTGCCCTATAGTGACAGTTGTTTCCCCCTGCCTCAGACACTGCCCTATAGAGACAGTCATATTTTCCCCTGCCTCAGACACTGCCCTATAGTGACAGTCATATTTTCCCCTGCCTCAGACACTGCCCTATAGTGACAGTTGTTTCCCCCTGCCTCAGACACTGCCCTATAGTGACCGTCATATTTTCTCCTGCCTCATACACTGCCCTATAGAGACAGTCATATTTCCCCCTGCATCAGACACTGCCCTATAATGACAGTTGTTTCCCCCTGCCTCAGACACTGCCCTATAGTGACAGTCATATTTTCCCCTGCCTCAGACACTGCCCTATAGTGACAGTTGTTTCCCCCTGCCTCATACACTGCCCTATAGTGACAGTCATATTTCCCCCTGCATCAGACACTGCCCTATAATGACAGTTGTTTCCCCCTGCCTCAGACACTGCCCTATAGTGACAGTCATATTTGCCCCTGCCTCAGACACTGCCCTATAGTGACAGTTGTTTCCCCCTGCCTCATACACTGCCCTATAGAGACAGTCATATTTCCCTCTGCATCAGACACTGCCCTATAATGACAGTTGTTTCCCCCTGCCTCAGACACTGCCCTATAGTGACAGTCATATTTTCCCCCTGCCTCAGACACTGCCCTATAGTGACAGTTGTTTCCCCCTGCCTCATACACTGCCCTATAGTGACAGTCATATTTGCCCCTGCCTCAGACACTGCCCTAGAGTGACAGTTGTTTCCCCCTGCCTCAGACACTGCCCTATAGTGACAGTCATATTTTCTCCTGCCTCAGACACTGCCCTATAGAGACAGTCATATTTTCCCCTGCCTCAGACACTGCCCTATAGTGACAGTTGTTTCCCCCTGCATCAGACACTGTCCTATAGTGACAGTCATATTTGCCCCTGCCTCAGACACTGCCCTATAGAGACAGTCATTTTTCCCCCTGCCTCAGACACTGCCCTATAGTGACAGTCATATTTGCCCCTGCCTCAGACACTGCCCTATAGAGACAGTCATGTTTTCCCCCTGCCTCAGACACTGCCCTATAGTGACAGTTGTTTCCCCCTGCCTCATACACTGCCCTATAGTGACAGTCATATTTCCCCCTGCATCAGACACTGCCCTATAATGACAGTTGTTTCCCCCTGCCTCAGACACTGCCCTATAGTGACAGTCATATTTGCCCTGCTGCCTCAGACACTGCCCTATAGTGACAGTTGTTTCCCCCTGCCTCATACACTGCCCTATAGAGACAGTCATATTTCCCTCTGCATCAGACACTGCCCTATAATGACAGTTGTTTCCCCCTGCCTCAGACACTGCCCTATAGTGACAGTCATATTTTCCCCTGCCTCAGACACTGCCCTATAGTGACAGTTGTTTCCCCCTGCCTCAGACACTGCCCTATAGTGACAGTCATATTTGCCCCCTGCCTCAGACACTGCCCTATAGTGACAGTTGTTTCCCCCTGCCTCAGACACTGCCCTATAGTGACAGTCATATTTTCTCCTGCCTCAGACACTGCCCTATAGAGACAGTCATATTTTCCCCTGCCTCAGACACTGCCCTATAGTGACAGTTGTTTCCCCCTGCCTCAGACACTGCCCTATAGTGACAGTCATATTTTCCCCCTGCCTCAGACACTGCCCTATGGTGACAGTTGTTTCCCCCTGCCTCAGACACTGCCCTATAGAGACAGTCATATTTGCCCCTGCCTCAGACACTGCCCTATAGTGACAGTTGTTTCCCCCTGCCTCAGACACTGCCCTATAGAGACAGTCATATTTTCCCCCTGCCTCAGACACTGCCCTATAGTGACAGTTGTTTCCCCCTGCCTCAGACACTGCCCTATAGTGACAGTTGTTTCCCCCTGCATCAGACACTGTCCTATAGTGACAGTTGTTTCCTCCTGCCTCAGACACTGCCCTATATTGACAGTCATATTTTCCCCCTGCCTCAGACACTGCCCTATAGTGACAGTTGTTTCCCCCTGCCTCAGACACTGCCCTATATTGACAGTCATATTTTCCCCCTGCCTCAGACACTGCCCTATAGTGACAATCATGTTTTGCCCCGCCTCAGACACTGCCCAATAATGTCGAGTTCTGTCACAGTTCTCTCTACAGACACTGACATATAATGTCGAGTTCTTTCACTGTTCTCTCCACAGACACTGCCCTACTGTGACTTGTTCTTTTCTCGTTCCCTCCACAGACACTGCCCTATTGTGACGTACATGCAGAGTCTGAAGCGTGGTGTGCGGCAGTCAGCGAGAGAGGCCTACACTGTTCCGTGCGGCAGGTTCGACTGGGACACGTGTACGTCGTACAGGTAAGGCAGCTGGTACCAAAGATAATTGAATTTGGATAGGGGTATGAACGGTTCAGTCAGTCAGTATGACTTCGTGATAGAAAAAATGGCTGCATTAGAACATTGTAATTTCAAACGTCTCTTTGCTAAATCAAACACAAACTACAGCAAACCGAAAGGGCAGCTTTTTGGTAGGTTTTCAGTTTGCCTGTGCTTTGTGTTTTTTCTGGGTACATTTTTTCGTCAAAAATTGTGGTTAAAATAAAACTCCTATTATTCGGAAACCCTCTTTTCTGGGCAACATGTTGGAACGTCAACATTTAGTATATATCAATATTCTTTAATACACAAACCAAGACAAACTTCTTGGAAAGGCACAGTCTGGATTAGCGGGGTTTGATTGTATTTTAGGTGAGAGCTTCCCAAAGCCATTTTGTTTTGTTATTCAGAATCGTGCAGAAGTTCGTGTACAAGACAACGTTCAAGGTTGGCTACAGAAGGAAGTGCAGGGAACCGTGATCACTGTCAACCACATTGCATAGAGCGGACCCTCATTAACCCGCACTTCCATATCTCCATATATCTGTCAGCCCGTGGATTGTTTTCAATGCGACAAAATCTGTTTTGACACTAAGTCGTCGCTGGACATAAAATATCATGTACTAAGCTCGACGGGCACAATGACCAAGTGGACCGAAGCCCCTCAGTAGACATGGCAGGAAATCATTTGATTCAGTTCGATTCCCAGATTCCTGTTAATAATCCTCAGTTTGTTAGTACCGTCCATTGATCACTGGTTTCAAGAAGACCGATAAAAGGTTAAGATCTGCATCTCTTTTGATGAATCTCTCCACAATATGCATTCTAACTGAACTGCTCTTAATGGGCTTTAAGTTATTCGATGTGAAAAGATTTCACTTTGACATCTTCCACCATAAACCACAGTCAGAATTTGAAGACTGACTGTCAAAGACTAACGTTACATTAAGTGACGTGGTTGTTGACAAGATGTAAAATGTATTTGGGGGACATATTTGTAATTCATAGCTGGATCATTATTTGCTGGTTTTTCATCTCAACACGTTTGATATAATCCAACCACAGCATGGAATACAAGGCTCACAATGTAAGTATTTGTATTAAACAGAATATCAAGCTAAACTGTGTGTTGGAGTTGACCTATCAGAGTAACACGAGGCTAAACCTTCTCGGGCGGTGGGGTAGCCTAGTGGTTAAAGCGTTCGCTCGTCACGCTGAAGACCCGGTTCGATTCCCCACATTGGTACAGTGTGAGAAGCGCATTTCTGGTGTCCCCCGCCGTGATGTTGCTGGAATATTGCTAAAAGCTGCGTAAATCCCAACTCACTCACTAAACCTTCTCAGTTCGAACCCCGTTAGTCCGGATTCTGTTCATCCGGACCTTTATCGCTTGGAACGTTGGTTTGTATAGATGTCGTGACCAATATTTTATCAATCACGTCATTTGTTAATTCGTACAATTTCACAAGGTACGCTCTTTCCTGATTAACGAGATGCTATGTTTGGGGTCACAGCGTCAAGTTACTAAGTGAGGGAGTTGGGTTTAACGCCGTTCTCCTGTTTCCTAACAGTGTCTGCTTAATGTGGAAATAATGAAGATCTGATATTCCACATGATATATCTATCGGATATTTCAGATCAACCTGATATTTGACATACTATATCGATCCGATATTTGACATGATTATCCCTCACGATAGATGATATATCGATCTGTACATGTTTATCCATGTCTCCAGGACGGGCCACGCCCACACCGGACGTCATGAACCTAATGCTGTATTTGCAGAGCAGTTGAGTCTGTCTACATCCCCCGAGGTTTATGATCCATCACGGACTGAGTAAACTGCGCCGTAATATCAGTTTACTGCTTCCTGTGTATCACATGAAAACGTCACACGATCCCCTCACTGCTCAGTTAGGACGGTGCTATTCCCAAAGTGCTCATCGGCATCGCTGGATCTACACGCGATAATTATTCTGTGTTGCATTAGAGCTGGCGGTTACTGCTGAAAGTACTTAACCTGTTGATGTATTTGAAAATGAACATAGAAAAGTCATAAAATAGCTACTTGTCTCGACCCCAAACTACTTTCATAGTATTGGTATAAAATAACTGAAGCGACACATTGAAATAATCCCTCCTAACATGTACATGTAATTATATCATTGATAATAGCTGACACATCTATCCGTGATGCTCTGAATCTGATGTGGAGCATTAACTTAGCACTGTAAAAACCGTTAAAGTATTTTAAATGAAAACGTTTTGGTGTGTGACACGTAATTCATGTGCTGTATGCACGGAGACTCGACCAGAGACAAGCAGCGACGAACAACCTCCTAGCCTCATCATCAATTACCATTCGTGTTATAGCTTCGTTTCGGAAGTGACGTCACCCTCACCAAATGTTGCTTCTATCTCCCACTCTCCTACCCAGAGTTCCATGCGGCAAGCCAGCATAGTATCTCTGCCACAGGCCAGAAAAATGTGACGATTCGTCACATCTTGCACCGTCCATTCAATATAATTTACATATTTCTCAACTCTTTTATTTTTGACGAGTCTACACAACTAATTAAACATCTTTCATAGAATGGTTTAGTTTCATTGAGAAAATATCCTAAAACATGTAACACTATTTCGATTTGCGTAGCGATCCTTTGTTTACATAGGTTATACGGCTCCACGTGCTGTCATCGAAGCTGATAGAGAGCAAACGATGCAGCCAGTTTGATATTTAAATATGTACTGTCATAGACCTTACTGTCGCAGTTGTGGAAGAATATATATGTAACAATGTAAAACATTATGAAGAGAGCGCCGAAAAGCTTTTGTGAGTCCAGCCTCTTCTTATTATGAATATGCGCGTTTGATTACAAACAAGAGAAAAGTCCGGTCACGTGATATGCAAATTAGCCTGTGGCAGTGATGTTATGTTAAGTCATCGCTGTGCCGGAGTGTGTCTATCTCCAGCTCAGCAAAGATCTTCTTTCGCTCATGACTGCAATATTATTGAAAGAAGCACTGGAAGCTAATAGCTGAGGGGTAGTAAAGAACGCAGAATTCAGATATAATAGCAATTTATCTCTCCAGAATTCCACCCACAGTGCAATAAAAGCTTGTGAAGAAACCTGGAAAGGAATAAGGGAACACTTGTACTTTAAGGTGTTCCCTTATTCGTTTCCATGAGTATACAATAGTTACTGGGATCTTCTCTATAAAGACAACCTCTACAGATTCAACCTTTTTATTCTTTCAGTGCATTTATTTCGTTGCAGTGTCAAATTGTCTTCATTGATACAGCATATTTGCTGGCATGTAAAGATATTTCTGTCTTCAGCACTTTCGCTTCCTGAGGGAATACACCAACATTTCTGCGTCTGGAACTTGAGTTCCAGACTCATGTGCCTGAGCTCAAGACATGTTTGCCTAAATTACAGACTCACCTTCCTGAGCCCCTTTTGCCTGAACTAAAGATACATTGTTCTGAGCTCCAGAGACATTTGCCTGAGCTCCAGTGTGTTTGATGTGTTCCAGACACCATGTGCCTGAACCTCGTCTCAGCTGTTCCACGCTGACGCAGTCTGCCTGTGTTGTTCATGACAACGTATTTTGTAAATCAACACCTGGGGCATTTTATAAACATCTTTTTGAGCTCCATCCTGAAATTTCTGTTGTTGAAGACGTAGATGAGGGGGGTTGATGACAGTGAGGGAGTAGACGAGCCACATGGCGCCCACGTCCACCCACAGTGACGTGTTCACGTGCACGGGACAGGCGTGGGTGACGGCGTATGGGCCCCAGCACAAGAAGTAGGCGGTGATCAGCAGCGCACCTGCAATAATGGAAATTGTCAGCTGCAGTAGCCGCATCTACATCGTGTCATTATTCACATACGTTTATATATATATATATGTCCCTGAAAAACGGGCAGTGGGGTAGCCCAGTGGTTAAATCTTTCGCTCATGACGCAGAGGACCTGTGTTCGATTTCCCACATGGGTACAATGTGTGAAGCCGATTTCTGGAGTCCCCCCGCCGTGATATTGCTAGAATATTGCTATTTTGTTTTAGCGTCGTAAATCTAAACTCAATTGCTAACCCGTTGGATATGCAAACGTGCGCTGTAGAGTTGATAGCGCAATTCTGTGTGTCAGAGTGGCTACAGATAAATGTATTTTATCACAAATCTACGTACTAATGTCTTTCTTCACCGCTTACTTCTAAATACGTATAGCTTTTGATTTCTGTTTCTGAATAAGGAAAAATGGTAGCTGTTGACCGAAAGATATGGGTCCTAACGAAAACACGGATATTGTTTTCGATCGTTAAACTCTAAAGCGCACATGTGAAGACCTTTCTTACGAGATGGTTCACAAGTAGTGAAATGTTATATTGGAAGATGCACGGATAAGGAAATACGGTTACAGCAGCTCTGAGTGAGTGAGTGAATGTGTCTTAAATGAGTGATTTAATGGACGACGTACACAAGCCTTATCACAGCTCCACTACGGCGACTCTTTTGATTACATGAGACATGACTGACTAACAAGGTAACCTAGAAGTAGTCCAGAGGAAACAGTGTTTGCACATCTTTCCGAAGATCTAGGGCCTAGATTTTCGAAGCGCTCTCAGCGCTAAGATAGTCGTAAGTGCCATACATTAACATTAACTTACGACTATCTTAGCGCTAAGAGAGCTTCGAAAATATAGGCCCATGTCGATTCCCAACATTAGAACAAGGCGTGAAGTTGATTTCTGATGATACTGCTGTTATATTTCCATAAGCGGCGTAAAACCCTACTTAGTTACTGGACATCTGCCTGAATAGTGAGAAGTCCGTGGTTCGATCCCCATGTCAAAACACGTAATAAGATGGTACTTGTTGTTCCCCTGGCGGACACGGGGCATTGCGGAGATAGTGCAAGGCTTAATTGTCTCCATGACTACTGTGAGTGGGGTATGTACGTTAAGATGCGGAATAGTATCGCACACACACACACATATGCACGCACGCACACCTAATGTTATTCACATGCTTTCTCTCTCCCCTTTTTCTCTCTGTCCCTCTAGCTCCCCTCTCTCTCCACCAAACGCACACGCACATGCACATGCTGTTTAGAACCAGGAATTATGAACATTTTTTAAACCGATTATTTTCCAATCTTAAGAAATATAGTATTTTCTTCTTTGATAATTTGAAAGATTTACCTCGTTTTGCGATCTGTTTGTCTACGCTGCGTATGTGTGACCTCTTTGCGGGCAATGGCTTGTGTTTACCGTAGATGCCTGTGTCGTTGTATGGTGTGCCACCGTCATTGACAGTAACAGCGTTGGTTATAGCAGTGTTTGGACACAACGATATCTCCTTAACGCCGGTCACCTCCTCGCGTTCTTTCACCGACGTCGGGCGAACTACTGAAGCAGCAAAGATCTTCATCTTGTGAGCACGTAGGGTCCTGGACACTTTGAAGTAGCAGAACGCCATTGTAGGAAGCGGGATGCCGTAGCCCATGACGATGGCGTACCAGAAGTACCAGCAGCTGGACCTGAAGGAGGGGGAACAGTGCTTGGTGCCAGGCTCGAAGTAGTAGTGTGCGGTCTTCGTCGGCAACAATGGCGGCAGGGCGGTCAGGCTCGCCCACAGCCAGCAGATGGTTAACAGACCTTAATGAAAAAATGGTTGAGACAATGGGATTGCCACAGCTTTGGTTTGAAGTATACAAAAGGTAGTATTCAGAGATGAGAATTACATGATCCTATATATCTATATCTCCTAATTCTTTATCAGATTTTTCAGGAAAGAAGAAATGACAAAGTTTAACATGAAAAATCCAAATATTTGACATTGCGAGTTAATGAGTGAATATTGTTTTAATTAACTGTTTGAATTGCATGTTAGAAGCTGGTACGTAATGGTAAAGGTGAGATATTTTATGGATCATAATGATCCAAATCCCTTTTAAATATATTACTAATATATATGAATTGAGAACTCATCATCCCTAAAATACACTGCACAAAAAAAGAAACGCAACGCCCATGTGTGATATTTAAAAGACATTTTTTATACAACGTTTTTATGAAATCGATATTAATGTTATGGATAGGTTTACCTGTTGTCTCAACAATGATTTCTAACACAAAAACACAACAGTTGCGTATTTTTCGCCAAAATACAGCATCTGGAAAAAATAGTGTCTTGATATGTGTAAAGAAAAATCTGAAAGCATGGTGCTCGTGAAAGTGTTCGTGGTTTCTTGTGGTTGATATGTGTGGCTATTAAAATGTGGCAGTCCCGTGCCACAATGTACACATTTATTCGGAAATACGCCAACATGCCAAGATTGAGTGAAGATGCTCGGAATAGAGCCAGTGGACGTTTAGAGGCCGGAGAAACAAAGTCATTAGTAGCCGGACTCCTGAATGTCCATAAAAGTACGATTTCAAGACTTTGGCAGCGTTACAGACGCTATAATTCGACAAGTGACCGACCGAGAAGTGGCAGACCAAGGGTGACAACTCCTGCTCTGGACCGCTTCATCAGGATACCCCATCTGCGGAATCGAACTGTCACTGCAGCGTACACAGCTCAAAACATTCCTGGACTCCGTAGAGCGTCGGCACTGACCATCAGGAATCGTCTAAGACTCCATGGTATCATACCGATGAGGCCATTTACAGGACCTATAGGGCACCACCATCGTCGTGCACGACTGCGATGGAGTCAAAACGTTTGACCTTGAACCTTCGTACACTGGAGGAGAATTTGGTTCAGTGACGAGTCGCGTTTCAAGCTGTTTCGTCATGATGAAGAATACAGGTATACAGGAGGTGAAATGAACGTTACAGTCGTCCCTGCGTTCTTGAGAATGACAGATTCGTGGGAGGAGGTGTCATGATGTGAGGAGCCATATCCGCTAATGGGAGGACAAATCTCGTCAATATACAGGGAAATTTAACTGCACTTCGTTATCGTGACGAAATTCTTCAACGCCATCTTTTTCCTTCAATCGACGTCCGACGTGAGATATTCTAACAGGACAACGCACGACCACACATTGCACGTGCTAAAATGAATGTTCTTGCCAACAACAACGTAAACATGCTCCCGTGGCCCTCAAAATCACCCGATCTCAACCCTATCGAACATTTATGGGACCAGCTCGATAGACGTGTACGATTACGACGATCTCAACCTCAGACACTTGAACAGCTACGCCAAGCATTGGATGAAGAATGGGGAAGGATTCCACAGCGTATAATAAGGACACTGATACTGTCTATGCCCAGGAGATGCAGACATGTCATTGCTGCTGGAGGGGGGGCATACGTGATACTGACTTTGAGATGATGCTGTAGCGGGCGCCAACGTTCGAGAAGCTTGGAATTACTCCGCGTGGCTCAGAATACATGTAGTTATATTCCTGTGAAATCATATATTTGTTCATTCAATATGTATTGAGTAAATCGCTTTTGAATTCAACATAAACTTACCTTGATTTTACTTTGTTGCGTTTCTTGTTTTGCCCAGTGTATCTAGCCTTTCTACCAACATTCGAGATAGTAAGTGTAGTCAGACTGGTGCGTTATATAATGTGCAACGAGCCACACCGTCGGATACGATGACATAGTCAGTCATGTCACTCACTGTGGCCAGCCAATACTCAATCTCGTTGCTCGAAACAAGCAATGGGAACCGCTCAGCTGATTAACTCGGATTTCATTTTGTTTGTAGTTTAACGCCGGACTCAGTAATATTCCAGCTGTATGACGACGGTATGTACATACTCGAGTCTGGACCAGAAAATCCAGTGATCAACAGCATGAGCATCGATCAAGACAACTGGGATACGTTGACATGTATCGACCAAGTCAGTGACCCTGACCACCCGACAAACACCGGCTGCTGAAGAACAATTCTAACCCGGATCTTCGCGGGTATATTCTCCACAGTAATGGTGACAGTGTATACACTTACCTAAACACCTTGCCTTGGTGAAGTCGGTGATGTAGCGCATGGGGTGGAGAACAGCGACGTAGCGGTCGACAGCGATGGTGGCCAGCGTCAGGCTGGCTAGTGTACACTGGAACACGGACAGGAAGCCCGTCACCTAGCAACAAGAGGGACACGACCGATGTAGTGGACATCATTAGACCTGTGAACAAGATGCTACTGTATGTTGCAATTACCGTATTAGCTGTTGTTTTAGATGGATAATTGACATGCCTTTGCGCGTGTTTGTGTCGGGTGCCATCAATAACAAAGGGAAGTCTTCCTTAGGTGAAGTGAGGTGAAATTGGGTTTAACGTCGTGCTTGAGAATATTTCGCTCATATGACGACGTGCATGCGTGTGTATGTGTATGTGCGGCTGCTTGTACTAGCCCAGACTGAAGCAAGTTTTATAGTGCTAGCCCACTGAGATACCATGCCGCAGTGAAGCATGAATACCCCACTCAGACACATTATACTGACTCTGAGCCGACCAGTCCTTGTTGTACCCATTAATGCCGAGCGCCAGGCAGGGACCAACAAGTACCATATTTTGGTATGACGCGGTCGGGGATCGAACCCGCGACCTTCCGCTCTCCGGGCGGACACTCTAACCACTACACCACGGAGGCGGTCGAAGTCTTCCTTAAGTAAAGCCAATAAGTCTGGTGCTTTCGTCAAAACGTCACCGATTTCAACGGGTGAAAAGGGAGCATACTATTCATAATAATAATTGTATAATAACAGTGAGTGAGTGAGTATGGTTTTACGCTGCTTTTAGCAATATTCCAGCAACATCACGGCGGGGGACACCAGAAATGGGCTTCACACATTGTACCCATATGGGGGTATAATAACAGCAGAAATATTGTATGTATATAGTGGTATAAATATTCATTGCTAACAGCTTTATTCTTGTTAAACTTATAATTGTCACGTATCGAGTCCATTTCAACCTTCGTCAACCAAAGAGTAATGAGTGAGTGAGTTTAGTTTTACGCCGCTTTTTGCAATATTCCAACAATATCACGATGGCCAACCAAAGAGTAGATAGTTCTGAAATGTTCTTTAATAAATGAACTAACCTAAACAAAGAAGATTGATTTTTTTAAATTTTAATATATCAATATTTTATATTTTAAGCAAATACTTAGAAAAAACATCTCGTAATTAGTTAACTGTCACGTGGGTCTTCATCTGAGTCTAAAGCTGATGGGTAGGGTTGACCCCTGATAATTCTTCCTTCATCTTTCTGGTTTACTTCTGTAACTAACAGGGGGCGGTGGGGTAGTCTAGTGGTTAAAGCGTTGGCTCGTCACGCCGAAGACCCGGGTTCGAATCCCCACATGGGTACAATGGGTGAAGCCCATTTCTGGTGTCCCCCGCCGTGATATTGCTGGAATATTGCTAAAAGCGGCGTAAAACCAAACTCAGTCAGTCAGTCTAAACTAACACTAAAGTTGATACTATCAATGAACTCTTCTAGCACGGGATTACACATCTCACACAACGGAAAGCCACCTCAAACATATACCATGTGCTTTTATGCAAATAAAAAGGATACAAATGAAACCACAGCGCTGCTCTTATGTGTCAGAGTGCGTCTCAAGATAACGCTTTCGTATTCCGTACCACATGTTCGCATGTTTTATGTGAACATTTGACTTGCCTCTGCACGTGTTTGTGACGGACAATTTTTTATGATTATAGAAAAGATTTTGCCTCTTTAATGTACCTTACACATCCGCCCTCGCTAAGTTGTGAAATACGTTCAAGTAATTATGGTCCATAAAAGTATATTTAATGTAAACATGACTTGCTCATGTTATGTTAACCTTCAGACTGTTTTCAGATTAACCTTGCGTTATTTTTCCTAACATTTCGATCGATATATTTGTATAGATGTTATATATTCAATGTGGAACTAGACCAAAGTAAACACGGATGTAGTTTAAATGGTTTCATTGATTTTCTGTTCTTATTAAGATGCTTGTTTTCGTTGTACTAGTATTTAAACGGCGATGCATTGTAAAGGATATGCAACCTGATACATGCGGCTCCCATCGACAGTAGGACAAACAGTCGCATCCTGGCTGGTCACGGGGGGAGGTAAACAGGTATCTGTGTTGCAAGGTGTGTGTGTGTATGCGTGTGTGCGCGTGCGTGCGTGCGTGCGTGTCGTCTCCCCTGAATCCCGAACACCACGTCATCTGTCACACTGAGTTTCATTTGTTCATCGGGGCGATGGGGTAGCCTTGTGGGTCAAGCGTCTGCTCGTCAAGCTGAAAGTCTGGGTTCGATTCCCAACATGGGTACAATGTGTGAAGCCCATTTCTGGCGTCCCCCGTCATAATATTGCTGGAATATTACTAAAACGTAAAACCATACTCACTCACTCGCTCATTTGCTCATCGGTGAATGACAGATACTATTTTTCTCAAATCAAAATATAAAATCTTCAAAGGGAGAATGTCAGCATCTTAAAAGAGTAAAACCAAAGTACACATTCCTTCCACCTAAAATGGTGATGTTTGAGGTTAAATTACCAAACATCTAAAAGGATGTTACATTGAAAATTGTTAAGTGATCATTATTTCGAACAGAAAGTGTGAGAGCGTTACTAATTGGCACCGTTGACGTCATTATGCAAGGGACATAAGCCATGGTGTGTTCAAAATATGAACCGATATTAATGCAGGAGATAATTTAGTTACATCTGATATCTTTACTGTTTTGCCAATAAAACAACTTGATAAATATATTTCATAATGACAGTTGAAATAATAATGAAACTACACGTATTAACTATTGTTGGTTTGATGGAGGCCAAATTTATCAGCAGAGGACAGGAAGTACACTCTGTAAAACAGAAAAGCATAAACCATTTCAGAAGAATTTATTGCGTTAGTTTAAGAGCAATTATTTCATGTAATTTCAAAGGTAAAAGGTGAAAAGTCACCACTTTGTATGACCACCATTGGCAGCAATTACTGCTCGGCAACGTCCCGGCACAGACTGGATAAGTCGACGAAGTCACTCTTGCGAAATTCTTCCCCACTCTTTCTGCAATGCGATGGCCAGTTGTGGAAGTGTCTGAGGCGTGTCTTGACGTTGACGTACACGTCGATCGAGTTCATTCCATAGGTGTTCTGTCGGGTTTAGATCTGGTGGTCGGGAAGGAAATGGCCAGACACTGACGTTAGAATTGACATGGTAGCGGACCGTGACGCGTGTTGTATGTGAAGTAGCGTTGTCATGCTGGAACAAGTCCCTCTGTCGGTCCATAATCGGAAGCATGTGACGTGCAAGGACTTCGTTGATGTACCGATTTGTTGTCAGATTCCCCTGAACCATCACTAAATCAGATCTTTGTGTGCTAGAGATCCCACCCCACACAATGACACTGGCTTCACCGAATCTATCGACCTGTCGAATGCAATTAGGGGCAAAACGTTGATTTCTCCGACGGTAAACAAACTAACTTCCATGTCGACGGTGAAGAGGAAATCGTGATTCATCAATGGACCAGACTCGCCTCCAGTTTCCAAGGTTCCAGTTCCGGACTCTACGACACAACCGCAAGCCGATGGAAGTCTCTCAAAACAGGGGCGTCAATTAGCTTTCTTGGTCGAATCCCCACTTCACGCATTCGATTCCTACCTGGGTCGGATATTCGTCTCAAACCAGGGATGCGTTCTGCAGTCTCCATCACAGGGTGGAAGCGCTGTCCACGCAAAATGTGGAGTTGACCCAAAAGCAACTCCATTTCCTCGCTGGACAGTGAAAGAAGAACACGGGGCGCAGGAGTAATGTTAAGTTTTCCCTCGCATTTACATACTTTTGCAAGTATATATCAGGTTTTGCCATTTGGCAGACGGATCTAGAAAGTTACAGATCTTTCTGTAATATAGCTTGACACCCTCTATATTTACAATTATTAAATTACAATTGCGCGTTAGGCGAGGGCACCCTCCTGAGTGTCGAAATAAAATGATCGTTTCAACACGAAATATGACATCCTCATCAGCAGACACGCATGGGTTGCTAAAGACCTATTCTACCCCGGATCTTCACGGGTCGTTTTTTTAAAAACAAATTAATATGTGTTTGCATCCAGTAAATCCCAGACAGGGTACAAACTGCAATGAGGGTGTACAATCTTATTTAAAGATAAAAAATCGTAATAAGTACGCCAGGTAGGCAGTAACAAACATTCTTCTTCACAACAAATATCTCTAGAATAACGTTTGATGACCTGAAACTATAAACTGTCCACTCCTGGACAGTAAAATCACAAAGCAATGGACAGTTTGTTTGCTAAACGTGAACAACTCCATATAAAATGTACAGATTGATTTTTCGACGATAATTGAAAAAATACTGACGCATTAAAACCTAAACTGCGAATGAAGACCTTCAATCACTATATCTAAGAATTGACAGCCAAAAAAAGGTGTGTCTGCTGATGAAGATGTCATATTTCTTGTTGAAACGATCATATTCCGCGATCTTGTTTCGATACTCACGAGGGTGCCCTCGCTTAAGGCGCAATTGCAATAAATATAGAGGGTGTCAAGCAATTACAGAAATATCTGTAGCTTTCTAGATCATTCTGCCAAATGGCAAAACCTGATCTACTTGCAAAATAATGCAAAATGCGAGTGAAAACTTAACATTACTCTTGCGCCACGTGTTCTTCTTTCACTGTCCAGCGAGTGAAATGGAGTTGCTTTTGGGGCAACTCCACATTTCGCATGGAAAGCGCTTCCACCCTGTGTCCATGGCTGTGGCGCAAATGAGCAACCCGGATGTAGCGGTCCTGGATATAGCGGTCCTTGGGCGGTAACTCTTGGACGGCCGCTTCTCGGGCGATCTTGGGCGTTGATGAACGTTGAAATGTCAGGCAACTGCAGACTGCGACTCCCCAGCTTCAAGGCAGCCTGTGGCGATGTTTCGACTTGCGGCACTTCTCGTGGCATGATGATTTCTTCTTTTCCAGGCAAAAACGAATGAAAAAATTATACACAACGCTTACCTTTTTACAGTGATCGATACCGCAAGCGCTTCCGCTTATTTGCACGTGCATTTGGCTTTGCATGTTTTCTTGGTGACGTTTTGGCGAATGTTTCTTCAAACGCTTCTAAAAGAGGGGAAAAGTTAAAATTGCCACGTTTTGGTGCTGAAGCTTTTTACAATTATTATTATAGGATAGGATATTTATACAGCGCACATATCCAGGTAACGAGTGCATGCTCAAGGCGCTGGTATTTTCCCCTCGATCATTGGATGTCAATCTCAACGGTACATCGTATTATCAATCTCAACGGTACATCGTATTATCAATCTCAACTCCTTGGGGAGTATACAACTCTTGCAGCCACTAGGCGCACCGAGTTATTGTGGCTTTCTCATCCTTACGAGGTACCCATTCACAGCTGGGTGGACGGGGACACATAGTCACAGTACTTTGTCCAAGTTCACTGCACGTTGCTGTACCCGCAACTAGGTGTTTGCACGTATTCATGTGGCCACCATCTGGTCATATACCAACAGATTCGTGGGTTCTTTTAAGTGCACAGGGTTGTGTACTATACACTAGGGGTTGTGACAACACTGAAAGACTCTGCACAGAAAGTTGACTCCAAGGTTTTTACACCTGGTCACATGTGGGCTCAACCTTGCTGGATCACTAGCCAGGCGCCTTAGCCAGCTCTCCCACCGCGCCCCCAATCACCTAAAGATGACGTTTTGGAAAGTGAGTGAGTGAGTTTTGGTTTTACGCCGCTTTTAGCAATATACCAGCAATATCACGGCGGGGGACACCAGAAATGGGCTTAACACACTGTACCCATGTGGGGAATCGAACCCGGGTCTTCGGCGTGACAAGCGAACGCTTTCACCACTAGGCTATCCCACCGCCACTGTTTTGGAAAGAAATAGTATATTTGTATTGTTTTTTGTCCGCAGCTACATGAGTCTAATATTCACAAAATCACCTATGCGTTTATTTTTTTGTACGTAGCTATAAGGCCACACATGCCGTAATTGTGAAATACTATTATACCTCTTAAGCAGAGGTCGTAATTGGATGTGTATCGAGAACTTAACAACGTATGGTATGGATTTACAACTTCTATATTATTTACAACACCACTGCGTCTCACAATATTTTCACATTAATTAACTCATCACAAGCTGTTTATTGTTGTTTTAACAATCAGTGAACCCGATACAATGTCCGAATGTTTTTCACGAACTGAGGTCATCGCCCGGTCACGCCCGGTGGACATTGATTCCGTCGACAAAAATATCAATGTCTCATTGATGATTGATTTTTTTTATTCAGATCGATTGATCGATGAGTACGACGCACGCGTGAACCCAGACCCTTACCGTGTATATTATTGACTTAAACATGTGCATAAGAATTGTGTGATGAGCACTAGCCTAATACGGTAGGACACTATGAAAGGGTAGGGAGAATTGGTGACACAACTTAAGAGAAACGTTGCATTCGATTCGTAGCATCAATGTATTTACTTAGTAACGATGTCCATTGATCGAACTATCTATTTAATCTCAGTGAAAGGGAATATGTCCGGGTGATGTGTTTAAAAAATAATAATAACTTAATTTTTTGTTTAAAAAATCAGCACATGAGTTCAATATTGACAAACTTTATGGATAACAACTTCTTTTATTACGTGAGTGCGAAGTATCGAAACTTGCACCTTTGTCAAGAAGGAATGAAGCTGTTATCCATAAAGTTTGTCAATACTGTACTTCCCAATTTCTAAATGGCACTCAAAGAAATGTTTTTCTACACTGCGCATCATGGCAGAGACAATATGTCGGTATATGGTCTGTGATCAATGTCAAGGTCACACACACACAGCTCCCAGACAGACATCCACGTTGTTTATTTGTTGATGGGAAGTAATTACATGGGTTATGAAATGATCGTATTCGAGGTGATGGAGGGTTGGCTAAGTTCGGTGATAGTAGACGATTAAGGAGCGACAATGTACGGACTGACTGTCTGACTGAGTTTGGTTTTACGCCACTTTTAGCAATATTCCAGCAACATCACGGCGGGGGACACCAGAAATGGGCTTCACACATTGTACCCATGTGGGGATTCGAACCCGGGTCTTCGGCGTGACGAGCCAACGCTTTAACCATTAGGCTACCCTACCGCCCCGACAATATACGGAGGGAGAGAGTTTGTTAAATATCCCAATGGTATTACCACGTGCTGTTAACCACAAATCATAATCTGGAATTCGATCTAACGATCACCGTATCCTGGCAAATTTGGCAAAATTATTTGATGAGTAAATGAAAAATGAGTCTCGTACAAAACAAAACGTACGAACTGCCAAGGATTAACATGGATACCAAATCGGAACTCAAACCCAATATACTAACTCCGAGCCAACCAATCCTTATTTATCCCCTTAAGAGAGTAAGGCAAGGCAACAACATGTACATTGTACCACATGTTGGTTGGTATGACGCGTTTTGGGGGTTGCGACCTTCCACTGGCGTTCTTTTCCTTTGACCAATGAGGCAATCTTCAGATGAAGGACTCTCCCAAGATTGAATATTGAAATTAAATATTCAATCTTGGAAGAAACGTTAGGAACAGTGACACAAACTGATAATAGAAGTTTGAGATGGACTGAAATTATAATACGAGCAAAGTGACAAATGACTGGGAGACGATAACGGATATCAACATTATACACAATATAAACACAGCTCTTGCTCAACATAAATGTTCATGTAAGTCGCATAAACTCCGGAAGGGGCCCCGCAGATATACTGGGGAAACCAGGAATGATATACATGTACTACTCGCTTCGCGAAAACACTAGATATCATAATACAGTAAAACGTTATATATTCATCCGAAACATGTGCGTTCTTATACAAAATACGCAGTATTCAGACTAAAAAAGTATGATTAAAATAACAGCCTTACAAGAGCAGAAGAGTAGTGAGTGAGTTTACTTTTTACGCCGCTTTTAGCAATAACCCAGCAAAATATCACAGCGGGGGACACCAGAAATGGGCTTCAGACATTGTACCCATCTGGGGAATCGAACCCAGGTCTTCGGCGTGACGAGCGAACGCTTTAACCACGAATTAACACCACCTCCCCGCAGCAAGTGTAAACAGCAATTTCAACAATAATATATAACACCCCAAAAAAAACAAAAAAAATTAAATATTTTTTAAATAACAAAAAGAGAAGTAAAATACAGCGATATTTAAAGACCATTGATGGAAAATCAAATGTTTACCTCACACAAGATTCCTTCTCGTAGCGCAGGGAAGCACGTTCCGTCAGGACAGAAGACCTCCGTCCCAGACACCGGCATCACCCACAGCACGTAGACCATGTCGCACAGCATCAGGTGCATGATGAAGACGTTGTGTTTACTTTGCCGCAGCAGCTTGCTGGAGATGTACGTGATGATGACGATGAGATTCAAACCCAGACCAAGCAGGATGAGAAGTGCCAGTGTTATCGCCTGAAGGTACCTCTGTGCAGTGGTCTCTTCGTCTGCCGTTACTGACGTCGTCACGTTAGGCATGGTGGCGTTGTCCTCAGGTGAACGTCATGCCAGATAAAGACTTCTCACCTTTGAGAGGTTGGCACACCACACAGTATAACAATGAACACACCACGTGACGTGTGATCGATATCAGGTTACTCGTCCTTATCCATGACAAAGATTGACATGAAATCCATGTTTCTTGACATATCAGGTCCGTAGGTCACCTTAGTCTACTTCCACGGTAGTTTATATTATTGATATGTCCTTATGATATCCTTATTTCAAATATTCATATCATAATATATAAATGTCCTTATCCTAAATTCAGCTGATATTACTCACATATGTCCTTCTTCGACATCAATGCCAATTTACAGTATTGATTTATGTCCTTATTCCATTGTTTGCTAGTATATATCAATGACATATGTCCTTATCCAATTCTTGTGTCACTAAAATGTCAGTGATCCATGTCTGTATTCCTCATGGGGAATAAGTCCTTATTCCACTCTTGTGTTAGCAAATATCACCGAATAGTGATCCATATCATTCCTCATTCTTTCAGTATATATCATTGATAAATGTTCAACATCCGTGTTTTTCAAATCATTGATATACGTTCCACATTCGGGTTTCTTGATACAGTGTATATACTTCCTTACTCCACAGACGTATTAGCATACATCATTGGGGCATGTCAGTAATTCACATTAACGTTCCTTGATGTCATATATACGTCTATTCCTGTGGCTTGATTTCAACACTATGTCTTATTCCATGTCAACTAGTATCCCAATACATGTATATCAAATGTTCGATATCAACTTTGAAGATCGATATCCAATATATAATTCCAAATATCACATCGTTGAACTTGCATGCACATAGTGTCTATGCATTAGTCAACTGTTACACAGTAACAATGTTACAGAATGTCCCGTTACATGTATCACGACTGTAACAGACCCCGCCCGGGAACTGTCATCTCTGCCTCCCTGTCACAGACCGGCGCCACTGTCGATACAATACCTACTGCCAGCATGACAGCTCTAGGTAGACGGTGTTGTACACCCGGGTGTGCGATGTCGCCTCACACGCGGCCGTATCCTCACGGCTGCAGCTCCTGGAGCAGAATGACTCGTCCCCGCGGTGAGGTGTTACACTGGAGTTGGGGAAATAGATAAAACAGTGATTGTGCAGGCACGATATAAAAGACGGATGGAGATTGATCTAAGTGTACTTTGATATAATCATGGGAAATCGAAGTCATTTCCATACATGCCTACACATTTTGTCTAGTAGGAAAATCATAAATCTAAAAGGTATATACTTTAGTCATACAATATTACCATATAACAGGTCGATAAAATGTATTTTGATATTTTTATGCAGAACGTAGTGAATAGCATTTATTATCATTAGCCCACTGGTTTTTACAACATGGGTGTAATACTAAACCAAGCGACTGAATAAATAATGTCAATAATGTCAAAAATACTTTATGAAAATATTACTTTATGAAAATAATACTTTATGAAGTTTAAAACATGTATTTTTTCTTGTCAAATCTGTTTATCCCGTGACTCAGATGAAATATCAGCTATCTATCGGGATATTCGTTGAGGTAAATATGTTGTTTGACAAAACCATGTCTGACTACTGGTATCTAGAAAACAAGACCGGAACTTACTTCACACAAGGAATATATAACGCCAAGCCAGAAAATAAGACCTTCGACTTTCAACCTTAGTTTTTCTTCAGTCCGATCACACGACTAGATCACGACAGTGACAGTCGAATGCGTGTTTGATCATGCGACCCCGAAAAGTTTAACACGGATTTTTCAAAATGTGAGTAAAAAGTTTGTACGATTGCACCCGTGAAAACCCACTGCCATCTCTCGCTTCAGTGGAGGGGTGGTGATGTAGCCTAGTGGTTAAAGCGTTCGCTCGTCACGCCAAAGACCCGTGTTCGATTCCCCACATGGGTACAAAGTTGTGAAGCCCATTTCTGGAGTCCCCGCCGTGATATTGCTGGGATATTGCTAAAAACGGCGTACAACAAAAGTCACTCACTCACTTTCGCTTCAGTGTGATACATCAGATCTGGTCAAACTTTAGGCTGTGGGAAGTACCACCATACAACCTAGGCCGTGTAAAAAGGTATTACAGAAAGTTATTCAGTTTCCAAATTTGGAATATTTCAGATATTTGTCTACCCGTAGCGAATACTAAGTACGATTGAACCCGATACTCGCCGAGTTATCGTTTCTATATTACAAAAGGTTAGAGTATGTTTGTTACCAAATGTCGCGAGTGAGTGAGTGAGTTTAGTTTTACAACACTTTTAGCAATTATCCGTATTCAATATCACGGCGGGAGACACCAGAAATGGGCTTCAAACATTCAAATCGAATCGCCCGGGGAATCGAACCCGGGTCTTCAGCGTGACGAGCGAGGCTAACACACATGGCCCGCTCACCATCACGGTTTGATGAGGTCTTCAGGTAACCCACACCCGTGAAGATCCGGGTTAGAATTGGTCTTCAGTAACCCATGCTTGTCGTGAAAGGCGACTAACGGGATCGGGTGGTCAGGCTCGCTGACTTGGTATACACATGTCATCGAATCACAGTAGCGTAGATCGTGCTCATGCTGTTGATCACTGGATTGCCTGGTCCAGACTCGATTATTTACAGACCGCCGCCATATAGCTGGAATATTGTTGAGTGCGGCGTTAAACAACAAATCAACCAACCAAACAACCAATCATTTAACCCACCCCCGTCACCATGTCACTACGGGTTCTGTTATATATCCTCGTCATTGTCGTCCAATCAATATCCTTGATGGACAACGCATCCATCTTGCTATATCAACCAGCAAACAATATAGATAATATACTCATGCCAATAATGGTTGTCAACCCCCTCCCACCCCCAACCCCACACCCCACCCCACACCTCTCCAATAAAAAAATATTGAAGGGGGTGACAACCATTATTGGCATGAGCATATTTCCAGCGTAAACCCTCCGATATTTGCTTTTCATCAAGGTCTTCCGACAAAACACAACAAGGGGAAAGTTGTCATAACACAACCAGAACTATTAATGTTCAGTATGGTGGAGCAGTGTTTATATAGATCAACAATCAGTTATACAAAATTATATAACATTATGTAAACCAGTGTATGTGTTGTATCTGTAGGAGACGGTTTTCTCGACCTTGTCTACAAATGCAAGTTTGTCAAATTTTCTGATTCTTTTCAAAACTGAAATCCTATAAAATGTATTATAAAGACTGTAATCCTATATTTTATGTTCAAGGAACTACTTTCTTCGTTCACTATATTACACAGGCCTGTACACCCAAGTCCCGGTCACACGACTGGGATGAGACTAAGCCCTGTAGGTCTGACCCTTATTACATTAATATAAACTCTGTCAAAAAAGAAACGCAACCCCTGTGTTTTAGAGATTTTGATCTGAAGTTTTAGGACGACACGGCATTTTTATTATTTAAGACAGAAGTCTGAAATTTGGCAGAATAATAACCCAGATGGGCATGTTTAAAATTGTCATTTCAAAAGTCATCTCACAGACACCAGTTTGTCACCAGGGGGGCGTCTTTCTCAGTATCTCGTATGAGCACCACGAGCTGCAATCACTGCACGGCATCTCCTTGGACAAGAACGGATAAGACGCCGGATTCTTTCCTGGGGAATGGCTCTCCACTCCTCCTGCAGTGCAACGGCGAGCTGTTGCAGCGTCTGTGGCGGCGGCTGACGTTGACGTACGCGTCGATCCAGAGTATCCCACAGGTGTTCAATAGGGTTGAGGTCTGGTGATTTAGAGGGTCATGGCAAGACATTGACGTTGGAATTCTGCAGAAAGTTCATTGTTGCACGTGCAGTATGAGGCCGGGCGTTGTCCCGTTGAAAAATCTGTGTCTGTTGGTCAATAATCAGGAGAAGGTGAAGCTCTAACACGTGGTTGATGTAACGTTGGGCTGTCAGGTTCCCTGGAACGATCACCAAGTCTGATTTCTGGTTGTATGAGATGGTTCCCCAAACCATGACGCTTTCTCCGCCAAATCTGTCCACCTGTCGGACGCAGATGGGCGCAAAACGTTTATGGCGTCTCCTATACAGACGCTGTCTTCCGTCGTGACGTTGCAAAAGAAAACGTGATTCATCAGAAAACCAGATTCGCCTCCAGTTTTGTAAAGTCCGTATCCTTACGTTGTTGCACCACCTGAGTCGTCGGCGTCGATGTAGGGGGCGTAGTACAGGTCCAACAACTGGTCTACAGGCACGTAAACCCGCTTCTTTCAGACGGTTCCTAATCGTTTGAGCTGACACTCTCCTCAAACCTGGTATTTGTGTGGCAGTCACGGTTGGTAGGGCATGCCGATTACGCAGGTGATGGACCCGGATGTACCGATCTTGAAGGGGGGTCGTGATTCTTGGCCTTCCACTTCTCGGGCGATCGTTGGTCAAATTGAAGTTGTTGTAGCGGCTCCAAAGTCGGGATATCGTTGTTTTGTGAACATTTAGGTGCCGTGCAACAGTTCCAAAACTTTCTCCGGCTTGAACACGACCAATGGCGATATTTCGGTCGGCAGCACTCAATCGTGGCATTTTTAACACAGCTTTTCGGCGACAAATGAATGAATATAATACGGAAGCACATGGGCTTTTATACACCCCTACATTAACTGCCATTTTCATGATTTGCATGTGTTTTTTTTGTGCGAAGTCACCATGAGGGTCATTTCATGCGTTGTGACGGAATAAGCAATAAAATACACTTATGCGTACAAATGCAGTTGTTTGGATGGTAATCTTCATTAATTACGTGTATCATTTCAATACATTCGAATAAAATTTAGTTTGGAAGCAATAACTTCATTCAAACGAATTTTTCATATCTGAGGACAGGGGTTGCGTTTCTTTTTTGACAGAGTTTATGTTTAGTTCCGGTCTGGCCAACTTGAGAAATAAGAAGACCGCATTTATAGGTGTCCTAGGGCACTTTTATCCCCTACAGGCATAGGATCGCCCTGTAACATATTTTATCGCTGTCGGCTACGGACCTGAA